TTAAGCAACCAATTTACTTTATATGATATTTTTAATTTTTTGAGAATTTAATTTCTTTGATTAACAGTTGGAAGTTATCAATTTTATCAATAATTACTAAATTTTTTTAAAAATATTGTAGCCAAGATTTTGACTTTTAATTTAAATACTGTATATTCATTAATCACTTTATTAATAAGAATTATATTTTTTTTTATAAACTATCTTTTCTATACTATATATATATATTTTTTTATTTTTTTTCTATATTTTGTTATGTTTTTTTGTAGTTTTTTGAGAGATCTTCTTATTTCTCTTTTTTTTTATTTTTTTAGCTTAGTTTTTTTTTTTTTTCAAACTTGTATTTAGACTTGAATTTGTTTTTTTCTTTCTTGTACTAGGGTTAGAATTTGTCTTCTCTTTAATAGTTTAGTTTGTCTTTTATGATTTTGTAACTCTAGTTTGTCTATTGCTTCTTTTTGTTTTTTTTGCTTCTTTAATTTATATATTTTTCTTTTATAGTGGGGTACCATATTATTATAGATACTTTTTGGGCAGCTATCGCTCAAAATCGGATAAGTAAACACAGCACAAACTTCGGGTCACGTGACCGGCCAATCTCACAGTAAAACATACTAAAATTTTATACGGCTCCATTGCATAGCGCAGAAGTTATGCAAAAAGTAGTACAAAATACCATTTTTGGGTTTGTACGAAAATCGATTTTCCGAATTTTTTAGATTTTTTTTTTTTTAAAAAAAAATCACAAAAAATCGAATTTTTATTCAAATCAGCTCAAATTTCGCTCAAATGTAGTGTGACACCCAGGTTACGTTATACGATATAAAAAAAGCTTATTTGTACGCTAGATCGGCATAAAAAAAAAAAGTGCATCTTAATTTTTTTTCTCACTAAAAATGGGCATAAAGAAGGATTTAACGGAATACTAGCGGGGAGCCATAATTTACGGACACCAAAGAGGTGATTCTCTTCGTACAATTGCAGCTACGGCTGGTTGTGGTAAAAGTTCCGTGTGGAACGTCATAAAGGAGTACAGTGCGTTAGGCACGAAAGAACAAAAAAAAAAACAAAAGAACCGGTCGCCCGAAAACTCTAGCCCCCTTGAATCCTGAAAACCTAAAAAATTCAATTAAAAACGGCAACCGCCGCCTCAACCTTCTGCAAATAACCAACTTCTACAATTGCCAAAATAAAAAAAAAATTTTAAGAGCACCATGCGCCATTCTTTGTACAATCTGAACTTGTCCTCGTGTGTTGCCCCGCAAAGCCTCTTATCTCAGCTGAGAATATGGTAAAAAGGTATGAATGGGCACTTGAACATTAGGAGTGGTCTGTCTGATACTTTAAACGTGTATTGTGGTCGGACGAGATCTATGTACGTCTTTTTCTGGGTTCTCCTGGCTGTGTATGGCACGAACCAAACGAAAAATGGGAAACCGATTGTATCGGTAGTAGTGTAGGACGTAGTTCTGGATATATATATTGGGGCTGCTTCTCCTGGTTTGGGGTTGGGCCTCTTATTCCTCTAAAATCTAATGCCAATGGTGTGTCACACCTTGAAATCCTCCAGAAATATGCCGTCCCCACTATAAAAAAATTTCTAGCAAACAATGATCGAGGTCGCCCAATCTTCGTCCAGGATAATGCAAGGCCTCATGTTGATAGGGTGGCTCTATAATACTTGAAGAAACACCAGATTCGTGTGATGGATTGGCCGCCGCAAAGTCCGGATCTTAATCCGATTGAAAACTTGTGGGCTAAGGTAAAGTGCTCTGTATGTCGTAAGGAAAGGCCAGGTAATCTCGCAGAGCTGGATGATCTTGTTAAAAAAATCATGGTATGAAACACCACCAGAACTTTGCCATAGACTGGTCGCCAGTGTCCCCAATCAGGTTGAGGCTTGTATTGCAGCTAGGGGGGGACCCACCAAATATTAGAATATAGTTTGTTTTTTTTTTTTTTTATAAAAAAATGTAAAAAAAAAAAAATAAGAAAAAATGTAAATTTTTGCTTTTCGTACAAATAAAAAAATCAATTTTTTAGAGTTTCTTGCATAGCTTCTGTGCGATGCAACGAAACTTTACGAAATTTTAGTACGTTTTACTTTAAGATCAGCCGGTCATGTGACCCGAATTTCGTGCTGTATTTACTTACCCGATTTTGAGCAATAGCCGCCCAAAAAGTGTCCATAATAATATGGTACCCACTATATATATATTTTTTTTCTTTAGCTTTTTTATACTAATTTTTTATATTAATCGAAAGATATTTTTCTCTTTTCTTCTATTTGTTTTTTCTGTTTTATTTTTTATTCTCTAAAACTTTTTCTTTTTTATTAAAGATTAATATCAAGTCTTGAATATTAATATTTTGTATTTCTCTCTTTTTTCTTGATACTTTTTTTTCTAATTTGTTATTTCTTCTTTATAATTAGCTTGTTTAAGATTTTTTTGTTTATCTTAGTCTTGTTTTTTATTTTTTTATTTTTTTCATTTTGTTGTCAATAGGTAGTTTACTTGTTTTTTTTCTTTAAATTTCTTTCTTCTTCTATTTTTAGATCTGTATTGCATTTATTCTTATACTTCTAAATTATACTCAATTTTTTTTTAAGTTATTGCTAATCTTAAAATTAAATTTTAGTCTTTTTGTTTATTTTGCAGCTTCTCTAAAACCTGTTATAAATTTGTATTTCTATTATATTTTTTATAACTTCTATTTTTTCTAATTTTATATTTTGTTTTGCTCTAATTATTCTATATTATATTTTTTGGCTAAATATTTTTGGTGCATCCCACACTATGATGCAGTGTATTATATAAATTATATAGTATTGTATTACAATTAAGAAATATGTTATCTAATCATTGTAGATTGTCATATAATAATCTAATATCAGAGTTTTTACAGTTGTATGAATACACATGCTGCATAACCCAGATCATCAGAGTAAAGTTTAAATTGTGGTATACTGCATTGTTTACTTGATTTGATTAATAAATAGAGGGCCACAATTAAAATGATTTTACTTTCTCTTGGCATAGTATTACAATAAGAGTACAGTATTTGCATAGTTATTAACTAAAAGGTGGATTAAATTTTGTGTTTGTCGTAGTAGAAAGTTAGATAATATAAAACTAATAAATTACCAAATATGTAAGACATACCAAACAAGCAGATATTTTGTAACTATTTTCTTCGCTTAATGTAACAATCCAAAAGTGCCTGCAAATATCGTATGAAAATAAGGTAATTTCAGATATTTTATTTCATCATAAAGACATAAAGAGAATAGTTTGTTAAAAAAGCTAATAAAATTATAAAATGTATAGAATACACAAATGAGCAGATATCTGGCTTGCATAATAATTCAAAGGTGCTTGTGAATATCACATGAAGAGTAAGTGGTTTTTATACAATATTTTATTTTGTTAGAAGGAATAGTTTGTTAGTGAAACTAATAAAAATGCTAAATGACTAGAAGTTGTCAAGAAAGTTAATATATTTGGCTCTTGGTGCAATAATCCAAAGACGTTCATATATATTACATGAATAGTAAGCAGTTTTTATATATTGTTTTTCATTTAAAGAAACTGCAATATAATAAGATTAGTAACTACTATTAATATAACTTACTAGACAAACAGGATTAGATAGCTACTACTTCGTTTATATAATCTGAAGTGTTTGTGATTAAAATATATCAAACAATTAGATATTAGACGACTGTTTCTTTTTTTCAGTACAATAATTAAATAAGGGTGCTTGAAATTATACAAGGATGTGAATCACTATTTTTTTGGCTTTGTTATACATTAATGCAACCAATGCTTTGTAGAACAAGCAGGTATTACATGATATTGTATATAGTAATATACTAAAGTTTAGTAGAAATCATATGGAAATAGTAAGACAATATTTATATTTATTATTAAGAGGAGGTTAGATTACTGACGAAAAAAGCTAACAAAAAAATTTGAAATGAATAGAATCAAAAGAGGTATCAAGTGATTGTGGAAAATATTTAGTAACAACATTTTATTTTCCTTATTACTAATACCAATACAATAAATTAAATTGATATATTTGTTATTATTTTTTTAAAAAGATTGTAGTATTACTTAGCATTATTAGATTTTTCTTGCTCTTACCATTTTAGTTTAGTTAAAAATCATAGTAGCTTTCAAATGGAATCAAGATGCATTTACCTAAATTTGAATATCAAAATTAAATATAATAAATCTGAGGAGCAATCAGAGAATGAGTTTGATGAACTATTAGAGCTTTATGAGGATAAGTGTTTACAGTATGTATTTATTAAGTGTAATTAAAAAAAATAGATCTTACAATATTTATACTATTAGAGCAAACCTTTCAGACTGTTGATGAAGCGTTTGTTGTAATTGAGACCTTTGTCTATTCACGTAAATTCAGAATTCGAAAGGGGCATGTTGAAAAAGATACAATCAGTCACAAAATTTCAAGATCGTTTTTATATTATCACGCTGGAAAGCTGTTAACAGAAAAAAAATCATATAAGACAAAGGAATCTGGATCATGTTATACTGATTGTAAATAGAAAGTTAATATTTATTAGAATAAATGTTTAAATAAATACTATATATCTATCTTTACAAATATTTATACTGGTCATATACCCGATGCAACTACTATACAGTTTATTTCAAAAAATCAAAAGCTTATTGATGAAATACTAAAAGATATTGAATATTATATATTAGTTAGAAAGCTTAATGCCAGTGCTTAGTATCGTCTTCTTTTTGGAAAACACAAAGTTCCAATTCATTGTTGTAATTTGTATAATGCAATTTCAAAATTCAAGAAATCGGGTTTTTTTGAAAATAATAATACGTTCTAATTATTGTCTATGTTACTTGCAAAAAAATTGAAATGCATTAATGCATCTTTTTTAGATATTTTCCCATCAACTAGAACTTTGAATGCATTACAATGATATTATTTTTCATAATAATACTGCAAAAATGAATATTTATAATATACTGCTCTCTTTATTTATTGTTATAGATAACATTTATCGGTCTTGTCTCATTGTACAGGCAATATTAGATAATGAAATAGCTAGATCATACTCTTGGTTACTTGAAATTTTAAATAAAGCTACTGATAAGCTTTGTTTAAAGACTATTTTAACAGATGCTAATCCTGCTATAAGTCTTGCTATTTCAAGCATTATGCTTTCGGCTTTGCATCTTTATTGTATCTGGCACATTAGCCAAAATTTACAAAAAAAACTTAAAAACAAATTAGGATCTAGTTGGGATTCATTTATTAAAGATTTTTATAAAACTCACAATATACTAGATTTACAAATATTTGAAATTCGGTTTAAGGCATTATTAAAAAGTTATCCAAAAGCAGCACAATACTTCAATAAAGTTTTATATCCTAACAGACATTCTTGAGCAAGAGCATATACTTTTTATTATTTTACTGCTGATACACAGGCAACCAGCCGTATTAAATCAATTAACTCACAAATTAAAGCTATTATATGCCATAGTTATATGACTCTATATAATTTATTTAATTCACTCGATTCTTTGATTGCTAGCCAAAATTATTATTTTGATTTTATTAGTTAGAAATCTTCAAATTAAACTACCGAATATTTGTAATACTATGTATTTGAACGTTGATTCTATTCTCAAGACCTTCATTGCTTCTAACTTAATTAAAAAAATTCAGTATGAAATAAATCATAGTCTATTCTATTATTTGCCAAAAATTAGTCCAAAGTCTCTAAATTTGTACAAGATAATATAGCATTTCTTTATTATGTTAGTGTTATTTATTTTTTCTCTATGATAAGTTAGTGACAGGTTATTTATCTACTAGTATAGTAGTTTATCATTAATTAATATATATAGATATTTTCGTGTTATTAGTACAAATTTTTTATAACATTAGAGTATAATAGGAAGTTATTATATTAGTAAAACATTACTTTTATTTTTTATTTATTTTATTTTTTTATAATACTGTAGATACAAGATGATGATGACAACACTATGTTTTCTGATGATGCATTTGATTATCCACTAGCTCATTCTTATTCACTTTTTCAACAAGCTAAAGATCAAGTAGTTGAAGTTTGAGAAGTAATTCACATGACATGGAAACATTCTAGGCTTCATATATTTTTGTTTAAAGATGGTTCGTTCATATGTAGTTGTATACTATTGATCAATCGTGGTTATCTTTGCAAATATTTTTTTCAGATTATGGTGTATTTATCTGCTACCAAGTTTTTTATTAACTTTGTAACAAGCCATTGATTTCGTAAAGAATATCAAAATAAAAATCTGGATCCACAACCTCTTGTTAATTTATCAACAGTTTTTTTATCTGAAACATCAGATGAATTATCACTTCCAACCACTATATTATAAACAAATGAATCTGCGAGTTTATTTTCAACAATGACTATTATGGTACACCCATTATCCACTACCACTAAAAAGTAATTCAAAAGAAAAAAATCTATGCTGAGACTATTGGAATTGCACATAAAGCAATTAACATTGCTATTGAAAAAGATGATTCATATATTCTTAAGTTTTTGAAAGAATATATAGTTCAAAATAAATATTCTCTTATTAAAAATACAACTGGTGAATCTTTTCTTGGCCAAGAAACAAATATTTTTGAAGAACATTCTGAATCAAGTACTATTCCTAAAAGGCCTTTTATTATAGTTTTTAACCCTATT